ACAGGGGCTGGTGGCTGACAAGAGGGGATTTTGAAGTGCTGGTAATTTTCTTGGCTTAGGTGGGAAGGTAACATGGTGTCCATTTTATAATAATTTGTTTAACTTCCTTATGGATTTTTCTCTATGTTTGCTACATGTATTTCTCAACAAAAAAATATTTTTAAAAGGCAATAGAACAGAAAATATAAATAGCTTCAAGACGATTTAGATAACTTATGAATGAGATATTCCCTAATGGGTTATTAGCATGGCTAGGAATATGTCAGGGTATATTACTAATCTTTGGTGGCATTTTGTGAACGTCTGCAAAACACCCAATTTTAAGATAGCACCCCAAACTGGCCCCTTTGGACATTTAAAAAATACTATTAGAATATGGTAGAAAATATTAGTTCTGTTTACTTTATAAGTAAAATTTCATGGAGATTAATTGGTATATTAATTTTTCAGATTAGGAAATTAGCAAAAATTAAAATAGAAGCTTTATTCAATTTACAAAAATCTATTTGGTATCAGCACATTCTCTGTTCCTACTGCAGACCTACTATTAGGGCTGAATTGTGTGTCCCTCAAATTCATATGTTGAAGTCTGAACCTTCTGAGACCAGAATGTGACTATATTTGGACACAGGGCCTATAAAAAGTCAATTAACTTAAAACAAAGTTATTATCATAAAATGGACACCATGTAATCTCCCTAGCTAAGCTATTCGGCTAAAATGAAGTTATATCTTTGTGTGTGTCTCTGTACCTGTCTCCCCTTCTTGTAAGGATGTCACATGACTGGGAGATGAGTTCAGAGACACACAGAGAAGACCATATGCAGATACTGGAAGTAAATGGCCACATACAAGCCAAGGAGAGAGGCCTCACAAGGAACCAACCCTGCTAACACCTTGAACTTGGACTTCAACTCCAGAACTGTGGGAAATAAATTTCTGTTGTTTAAGCCAATTAGTCTGCAGCACTTTGTTATGGCAGCTTGAGCAGAATAACGTACCTACCGCATCAGTAATTCTGGAGATGAAGTCCAGTAATTTGTGTTTAATAAGCTCTGCAGGTGTTTCTGATGTGACAAAGTTTGAGAAACACTGGTGCAGACTAACAATAACAAGATATATCTGTAAGTTGTTTTACATTTTAAATGATCATACTGTTTCACATTTTGATCCTTATCTACAATCCAATAAATTAGGCAGTGACTGCATTTCCAATTAACAGATTGGAAAACCACAGTAGCAAATCAGAGACTCAAACCCAGGGGTTTTGGTACAAATTCCAGGAATTTCCATTATACCACAGCTATCTTAGGCAGTGGTAACTGTGACATGTAGACTCTGCCCTCTCTAGAATAGTTTATAGTTTAATTAGGAAGATAAAACAGGGTAGCACTGACCATGAGCCATGTGAATCACAATACTAATAATTTACCAGGGCCTACTGTGTGTTAGCACCTGCTGGACACTGCCCAGACCTTTCTGATCTTCAGAAAGGTCAGATGAACTAGGTTCCATCACTTTATCATATTTCACACTGACTATTTGGTGAATAACACACTTAAAGAGGCTTCGGGGCAGGCATCAGAGAATGAAGGGGCTCTTTTCGGCTGTGTAATTAATTGCAGAGAATTTCAGAGGAGATTTGAGTTGGGGTAAAGGTGAGCAGAGGTCATTCAGCAGAGATGGATAAAAGGTAGGGAGCAGAAATGACCATGGCCAAGCAATGGAAGTGATACTTTCAATTAAAATTATAAAAATATAATAACCCCAAACTGAATTTTAAAAAATTGTATTTCTGTTCATATTATTTCCAGATACTAAAATAACTATAGTTTAAATTTTGAAATGTACAAGTTTAGAGAGAAAAATATTATAGGTTAGAGTTATATTGTTTTAAAGATGACATGATACTAAGGAAAGTTTGTTTTTCAGTTTGAATCCACCACTAAAACAAGGAGAGACAGAAAAAGGCAAGTTATTTGTTTAACTCACTATTTCAATATTCTCATGAGTTTAGTGGCTAAAAGTGTATTTCTCGTTTAAAAATAAATATGGCTAACTTTTACTTTTAAAAGTCCCAAATGACATAAACATGTTATTAGCACAAAAGTAATCCAAAAATCTATTTGCATTTAAATATCTGTTTTCTCTTAAAATGACTTTAAGAAAAAAAATTTTTCAATGACCTTTCTTTTAGTATTTACTATTTAGTACTGTATTTAGTAAATACTGTAACTCAATGATTACTTGGTCTTTGGTATACTATAAAATTCACATAAATATAAACCTCTGCTTTAAAATATAGAGTACATATTACAAAAATGAGAAGAACATATAAAGATAATATTGCATAAGAGAAAGTAGTTTAAAAATCTACGATTCTTAGATGAAGCATTATTACTATTTAAATGAGTCTACCAGATTTTAGCCAAAGTACTTAAATTTGTTTTAACTGACTTTGAAAAAGTCAATATTATGTGTGAATAATACTTATTACCAAAAATTTCTTCCCTAAATAATAAGAACGAAACAGCAGCATCACTAGTAAGACTAAAAATAGTGATTCTGCTAAAACTCAAATTCCAAAGTAAGTACTAATAACTGAAGTCATAATCAGGAAAATATTTAATAGCCATTATCATTGGGACTGAGATATATAATCTAAAATTAGAATGATTACTCAACTTTTTTTTTAAAAATATAATCACACTGTACCAGATAAACACACATTCTTTCTTTCCCCCTGAGAATGAAGGAAACAGCACTTTTCTAGGATAACTTTATAATAAAGTAATGGTCCTGGTGTACTTAAGAAAAACAAGTAATGTCATAATTTGTGCGTAGTATGACACTAGTTTAAGTTTACACCATCTACCCATCAAGGTTAACCACACATTGACTAGCTGAGAACACGTAAAGGGCTATTTGAGTTTGCGATTACTACAAGAGCAGACGGGCCAAGAGGTTCACTAGAGACTGGAAAGTACCGGAGCACTGTCCAAACGGAGGATTTCTTATACCCTACTACCGCAGAATGGGGACAAATACCAACATCATAAAAATTTAAAAAAAGCCACTGCTGGCAAGCAAACACCGGCTTGGTGGACCATAAATCTTACCTAAAATGGAAATTCCTGCAAGCTTAGAATATTGCTTAGTTATGACAATGTTTCTCAGCTTATTCACATCCAATTCAGAATCACAGAGCTAAGAAAGGTCATTTGACAGTAACCAATATTATGTCATGCGCAATTCACAAAAACTAAGGAAAACACAAAAAGTCATTTTTTGGCATACTAAAGTTTCCAAATGATAGCTGGAATTTTATGTTGAGATTTTCAGGGTTTGACAGATTAGCAAATATACACGTTAATACCTCATTTTTCCCAGTCTTTTCTAGAAATGAGGTAGATACACATGAATTGGTTTGCCAGATAACTCCAGCTTGTCCATTCAAAATGCCAATGCTTTCATTACTCAACTGCAAAGGAAATCTCTCTAAAATGCATTATACTTTTTTTCTTAATGATTCATGAACCACAATTATTTTAATAGGCTATAATAAAACTATAATATAGCCTCATGCAAAATGGCCCAGACAACTCTATTGTTTAATTCTCATGTATGCTTTGGCCAGTTGTTTTCCTTTCTGCTGCTGCCAGCCATTGAGCTTTATTTCTCAGCGGCATCAGTGTATCGTCCTCTAGAAGTTCCCTTTCCTCCTTCAAACACTGACGTGTTATGTATTAAAAAAAAAAAAAAAAAAAAAAAGGTAGTCAGGATGAGTAGATAAACTGGATTAGATTAAATAAATTATGCCAAAGAGTTTAGGGGGTCTATTTCCTGAGTTTTTCAATGTTTTGGCTAGGTAAGACTGTTAAGTGCTTTTTAAAATTATTGTTTTTTGACAAATTGTGTATTTCTATGCCACTAAGTTAGGAAATTCAATCCCTTGAAGATAAAAATCTCTGTCTGAGGAACGATTGCATTTCACAAGGATCAGAGCATCATGTTGCTTTAAGATGAACTCCTGGCATGAATTCACATTATGTCTCTGGTTCATTTTGCCTAACTTAGGCATTCAGGATCTTGCCTGATTTGCCTCAGGGCTGGACAAAATGAAGCCGGGTAAGTAGGGTGTGACATCACTTTTGGAAGAGGTATATTGTTGTTAATATTCTAACGCAATTTTGTTCTTGCTTGCTAAGTAGTGCTACGGGGCCAGATAATTTTAGCAATGAGAATTTCCCCCCTTAACTTGTTTCCATGACAGAGTCTGGGACATTTTTAGCTCAGCTGAATTAAGTAAGGTCTATAGTAAAGGGGACATTCTAGAATGGAATTTTCCCACTGATAGATGATATATTGTAACCACCCACTCATAGACTAGAGAAAACAGAACTTTCAAAACTGATACGCTTCCTTGGAATATTTAGGCAGAGAGAAATGTAACCTGCTCAGCCCATTTGTTTGATGCACTAGTCTGAAACCCATGGACTCTGGGTAGGATCTGGCCCAAATGCCAAGTAAAAATGATAACTTGGTACCTGTCTTGGAAGAGCTTTCTAGTCAGTTTCAGAGATGGGGCACACATTGTAAAGAGCCCTAGCTCCTTGTAAGCTCAACCCCAACTTCCCTAAGTTAGGGCTGAGAGGAGAGTGAAAGCAGTCATGTTCTCATGGTAGAGGGTTTTGGCATTCACTTACTTGGCTTGTGCCAACACTCCAAGGACTTCGGCATACAGGTCTGCCACAATGTGCATATTGCCAGTGTTGGGACCAAGGTACCTAGGTATGGTATAATTAGACAAGTTAGGGATCCCTGGTCATCTGAAAAAAGGAAACCACTGACTTTGTTTTAGATACCAACTTCAACGTTCAAAGGCGAGAAGTCACCTTACCCTTCTTTGTATTTAAAGTGCTTGAAAGCCAAGTTAATAACATCATGTATTAAACTGTCTATTACAGGATGAAGTGGAATCTGAAAAAACAAAGGTGATTCTTAATTCAGAGGAGAATATTAAAGAACAAATCAGTAACAGTACTTCCAATAACTACATATGACAATCAATAGCCATCAATAAACATAATTCATATGACCCAGCATTGGGAATTCATAATTTTAAAAACTTAGACTTTTACAACTTAAGTAGTTTTTAGATCAATAAATATTATCTAAAAGTAACAATAAGTCAATCACCTACCTGTTTCAAAACTTCTATTAATACTAAAGAAAAAATAAAATCAATGGCGAGGTCCCGTCTTTCCATTAAATAATCTCGCTGTTGTTCATCGCTGTAAAATTTAAAATATTTACATTAAAGCACACTGAAGGTATTCTCAGAGAAATATCATTCATCGAAAATCTAGGATTCCTCCTAATGGACTGCAAAACCCATTTTTTAAATTACATAATTTCAGTGGTAAATACATGCTAACGTTGGCCAGGTACAGTGGCTCATGCCTGTAATCCCAGCACTTTGGAAGGCTGAGGTGGGTGGATCACCTGAAGTCAGGAGTTCAAGCACAGGCTGGCCAACATGGTGAAACCCCATCTCTACTAAAAATACAAAAATTAGCTGGACATGGTGGCCCATGCCTGTAATCCCAGCTATTTGAGAGGCTGAAGCAGGAGATTTCCTTGAACGCGGGAGGTGGAGGTTGCCGTGAGCAGAGATGGTGACACTGCACTCCAGCCTGGGTGACAGAGTGAGACTCTGTCTCAAAAAAACAAGTAAAACAAACAAACAAAAAACATGCTAATGCTCTTTCTATTCTCTGTGTGCTGCAGTGGACAAACTGGATTTGAAGTCAGAATATTTGATTTCAAATTTAAAATTTTCGGTGATGTTAACTTGAGTAGCTATTTGTGAGTCTATCACCTCATCTTGTGGCCTCTTCTAAGGTAGCTTTTAACTCAGGAATTGTACCATCCGTAAAATGTGTACAAACTTGAGACAGGCTACCATTGAAAGATCTCATGAAAGGAGCTAAACAATGTAAGGAAACAAGAAGGAACTAATATGATCACCAATTTGAGCAGGACTGCAGGGGTGAAGAGGACTGGCATTTCTTTTTTTTTCTTTCCTTGTCCCTTTTATCTTGCATTTTTGCCACTTGAGACTCAGTGAACAGAGGAACGATGAAATGAAGGTGAGAGAGAAGAGTAAAAGGTAGATGGAAGAAGAGGTCGGAGAAGCAAAGCAGCCATTTGTGCTCATTTAAAAGTTAGAAGCATGCCATTTTGGTTGACTATGGCCTTATATATAATATAATCGGAAATCAGGTAGTGTGATGCCTCCAGATTTGTTCTTTTTGCTTAGTCTTGCTTTGGCTATGAGGGCTCTTTTTTGGTTCCATATGAATTTTAGAATTTTTTTTTTCTAATTCTGTGAAGAATGATGGTGGTATTTTGATGGGATGGGGATTGCACTAAATTTGTAGATTGCTTTCGGCAGTATGGTCATTTTCACAATCTTGATTTTACCCATCCATGACCATGGGACATGTTTCCATTTGTTTGTGTCATCTATGATTTCTTTCAGTAGTGTTTTGTAGTTTTCCTTGTAGAGGTCTTTTGACTCCTTGCTTAGGTATATTCCTAAGTATCTTAATTTTTTTTGCAGCTATTGTAAAAGGGGTTGGGTTCTTGATTTGATTCTCTGCTTGGTTGCTGTTAGCGTATAGAAGAGGTACTGATTTGTGTATATTAATCTTGTATCCGGAAACTTTGCTCAATTCTTTTATCAGTTCTAGGAGCTTTCTGGAGGAGTCTTTAAGGTTTTCAAGGGAAATGATCATATTGTCAGCAAACAGTGACAGTTTGACTTCTTCTTTACTTATATGGACGTCCTTAATTTCCTTCTCTTGTATGACTTCTCTGGCTAGGCCTTCTAATACTATGTTAAAGAAGAGTGCTGTGAGTGGGTATCCTTGTCTTGTTCCAGTTCTCAGAGGTAATGCTTTCAACTTTTCCCCTTTCAGTATTATGTTGGCTGTGGGTTTGTCATAGATGGATTTTATTATATTAAGGTATGTACCTTGTATGCCGATTTTGCTGAGGGTTTTAATCATAAAGGGATGCTGGATTCTGTCTGATTTTTCTGTATCTATTGAGATGATTAGGTGATTTTTGTTTTTAATTCTGTTTATGTGGTGTTTACAGCTAACCGATCTTTGGCAAAGCAAACAAAAATATAAACTGGGGAAAGGACAACCTTTTCAACAAATGGTGGTGGGATAACTAGCTAGCCACATGTAGGGAATGAAATTGGATCCTAATCTCTCATCTTATACAAAAACCAACTCAAGATGGATTAAGGACTTAAACCTAAGACCTGAAACTATAAAAATTCTAGAAGATAACACTGGAAAAACCCTTCTAGACATTGGCTTAAGCAAGGATTTCATGACCAAAAACCCAAAAGCAAATGCAATAAAAACAAAGATAAATAGCTGGGACCTAATTAAATTAAAGAGCTTTTGCACAGCAAAAGAAACAGTCAGCAGAGTAAACAGATAACCCACAGAGTGGGAGAAAATCCTCACAATCTATACATCTGACAAAGGACTAATATCTAGAATCTACAATGAACTCAAATAAATCAGTAAGAAAAAACCAAACAATCCCATCAAAAAGTGGGCTAAGGATATGAATAAGCAATTCTCAGAAGAAGATATACAAACAGCCAACAAACAAATGGAAAAATGCTCAATATCACTAATGATTAGGGAAATGCAAATCAAAACCGACATGGGATACAAACTTACTCCTGCAAGAATGGCCATAATAAGAAAAAATCAAAAAACAGTAGATGTTGGCATGGATGTGGTGAACAGGGAACACTTCTACACTGCTGGTAGGAATGTAAACTAGAACAGCCACTATGGAAAACAGTGTGGAGATTCCTTAAAGAACTAAAAGTAGAAATACCATTTGATCCAGCAATCCCACTATGGGTATCTACCCGGAGGAAAAGAAGTCATTATTTGAAAAAGATACTTATACATGCGTATTTATAGTGGCACAATTCACAATGGCAAAATCATAAACCAACCTAAATGCCCATTAATCAATAAGTGAATAAAGAAACTGTGGTATTTATATATTATGGAATACTATGCAGCCATAGAAGGAATGAATTGGCAACATTTGCAGTGACCTGGATGAGACTGGAGACTATTATTCTAAGTGAAATAACTCAGGAATGGAAAACCAAACATCATATGTTCCCACTGATATGTGGGAGCTAAGCTGTGAGTACGCAAAGGCATAAGAATGATACTGTGGGGGCCAGGTGTGGTGGCTCATGCCTGTAATCCCAGCATTTTGGGAGGCCGAGGCAGGCAGATGATGAAGTCAGGCGTTTGAGACCAGCCTGGCCAACATGGTGAAACCCTGTCTCTACTAAAAATACAAAAATTAGCCAGGTGCAGTGGCATGCGCTTGCAGTCCTAGCTACTCAGGAGGCTGAGGCAGGAGAATCACTTGAACCCAGGAGGTGGTGGCTGCTGTGAGCTGAGATCACACCATTGTACTGGTGACAGAGAGAGACTCCATCTCAAAAAANAAAAAAAAAAAAAAAAAGAAAAAGAAAAAAGAATGATAAAATGGACTTTGGGGACTTGCTGGGAAGAGTGGGAAGTGGATGAGGGATAAAGGCTACAAATATGGTGCAGTGTATACTGCTCAGGAGATGGGTGCACCAAAATCTCACAATCACCAGTAAAGAACTTACTCATGTAATCAAATACTACCTGTACCCCAATAACTTACGGAAAAATAAATAAAATTTTTAAAAAGTTAGAAACAGGATCAGCAGTGTCAGAAAAACAGCAAGGCAGCCCTCTACCCCATTTTCTGCTTGCCTAACCCACTGATTGAAGCCTCATTTGGAATTGAACAAAAGACAAATGAAATGACTGCTGAGCTCCTTGGTACCGTAAGTGGCCTAGAGCGCTGACTCTGGTACGGAACAGTCTGGCATAAAATCATGCCTCTTCTATTTATTGGCAATTTTTCCGCCTACAAAATGGGAATTATAGTACTTACATAATCGTTTGAGAAGATAAAACATGTAAAGTATTTAGCATAATTTCCCAACCACACAAACACTCAATATTATATATTAAATAAAACCAATGAGGAGGGATGACAGGATTTAGACTTGCCAGGAAGATATTTTCAAAATAAATCAAGACTATTTTAAATCTGGAATGTTTTTCTCTTTAGTCAAAAGGGAATAAGAAGAAAGGAAGGTGATATTTAAGATCTAAAGAAGACCTTCTGGCATGCTCTGTAACTTTGAGCGAGTCAAATTAAGGTTGCTGGATGATAGAACGGGTTAAGAAGGAACTTTCATGTTTACCTTTCAAGGGTAAATGTATCAACAGAGTAGGAACCCATTCCTTCTCTGGATCATTTATGAACAGGATCGTTTATGAACAGCCCTGCCAGGAGGGAGACTTGTGAACAAAACCATGTATCTAAAGTCCTTCAAGACCCACTGGAACTAGAAACACGCACTGTGAGCTGGGGGAAAGGAAAACCTATACAGCTGCATGAAAAAGGAGGGCACTCAGAAATCAGGCTTCAAATCCATTATATTATAGAATAAGGAGACAGGAAGTTGGAAAGACCAAAAGGAAGTAGAACTCCCAAAGATGGCCAGCAGGAGTAGAGAGAGTAATTTTGTGTTGGATGATAAGGGTCTTCGCAAGTGGCCGGAGGAAGAAAGTAGCAGTTCTTGGCAGAAAAAAAAATGTAGACCTCTGATTCTATTTTATTTAATAAGCCAAATTATGTTTTCAAATACAAAAATAAGACATACACTTTTCTAAAAATGAATTTAACGTTATTGCTGGTTTGCAGTTCAATTGCCAGGAGCCAGAGGCATTTGACAAATTTACTTGGCAATCAAAATGTCGGTATTGTACTAATATTAGAAATTACAACCCAGTATACATTTCTGACATCTGACTATTTTCAGTAGTTTATACTCCTCCTTAAAGTCCCCCCAATCTTTTTTCAGAGTAACAGAAACTCACATTCAGCTACATCAAGCCTTAGAGAGCTTCATTCTTTCAGCTGTTTTCTAAGGACCCATTTTCTCTTTTATTTTAAAAATTCAAGTGTTAACTAAAATGCTACTAAGTCAAATTTTACTGTCCTGATTCTTTATCTGATCTCAGTAGTTACTCTGATCTCCTGAAAATCATCAGTAACACAATTTTAAAAACTATCATTTTTAATCCATAAAGAAATTCACAAAAAATCTAATTTCAACAACTAAATTCTGACAAAACAGAGGAACAAAACTAAAAATTCAACTCACTAAAAACCGTCCCACTCCCTGCCCCTGGGAAGGTTTTAATATCTGTTCCTAAGTCAACATGTAATGTGGGAAAAATAATAAAATGATCCCTTTAATTTCTTTATCACATTGTCTGAACCATTTTCAGATAAAAAATTTGAATTCTAGATTTATTTATTTATTTTTGATATGGAGTCTCACTCTGTCACCCAAGCTGGAGTGCAGTGGCGCAATCATGGCTCACTTCAATCTCTGCCTCCCAGGTTCACTGCCTCAGCCTTCTGAGTAGTTGGAACTACAGGTGCATGCCACCATGCCTGGCTAATTTTTTGTATTTTCAGTAAAGATGGGGTTTCACCATGTTAGCCAGGATGGTCTGGATCTCCTGACCTAGTTATCTGCCCACCTTAGCCTCCGAAAGTGCTGGGATACAGGTGTAAGCCACTGCGCCCAGCCTAAATTTTATTTTTAAAACTTGGTAAATTAAAAAAATATTCATAAGGAGAGACTGCTAATGGGTACAGGATTTGGGGATGATAAAAATGTTCTGAAATTAGAGTGGTAATGTTTGTACAACCCTGCACATATACTAAAAACACTGAATTATATACTTTAAAAGGGTAAATTTTATGGCATCTGCATTATATCTAAAAATTCTAAAAATTTCCTTCACTAAAAAAAATCATTCAATATGAAAAAGTCATTAATCTCTCTCCCAAACAAAATTATATGATTAAATCTTGCATAAATTCAAGCACATTATAAAACTGGATCACAAATTTTGTCAAAGTATAATGTGGTGATATTACAATTCTTCAATTTCAAAAGAAGCCTTTTGAAACAGTATTAGAAATTTCAAGAAAAATGAGAGGGATAAATCATTCACAAAAGTAGTTAATGTTTGATTTTCTGATTGATTAATTTCAGTTTACCGACTTTTAAAGTATTTTTTAAATGGGAATAATTCATTTATATGGAGTAATCTAACTACTTTTTAAAATAATCTTTTATTTTTTTAAATAAAGTAAGTATGTTAATCTTTCTTATATTCACTGCCTTGCTATAGGTTGACTTCAAACACATGAAATTATATGTGCTTACCTAAAATTTGGGGGAAACACATTAATGAGAATCTTAAATTTTACAGCTGGGATGTTTTAAATCTTAAGTTTTACAGGAAGTTCCATTTTTCAAATCCACAAGAAGAAGGGAACACAGAATAAATAAACAAAATACTCAGCTGGAAGGAGGAGTTGGAGATGGTGTCACCTAACTTCCTTGTTTTGCTCACAAGGAGGCTGAGTTACAAAGGGGTGGGGAGTTGCCCAAAGTCACATGGCTAATTAGTGGCAGCGCCAAGTCTACTACTCACGTTCAATCCAGCGTCCTTCCCACTACAGTACACTGAGCACTCAAGGTTACTGGAATGAGGACTAAACTATCTTGGCATGTCACGCATGGCTTGCAGCCAGCATTCTGCTTTGGGTGCAGACTCAGTGGGAGAGGGCAGAGGAAAGGAGCTGGTAAGAAAGTGACCTGTGGTCCTTCACACCTGTCTCCACCAAAGTTGAAATAAGGCTGAGTATGAATTTTCACCCTGTGATGGCTGGCAGTGACTTGGTGCTCCAAATGGGTTACCTGCTACAGATACACGGCCTCTGGAGCAGCTGCTAGGTATCCTTGTGAAGAGTCACGAAGACCCAATTGCCTTGCAACTCTAATTCTGATGTATGTTTCTTGAAAATAAAACAAAATAAAACCATGATCCTTACACAGAAGAAATGTACCTTTTTGATTTATTGCTTGTTCTTGGTCTGTATTCATGTGATTCATCCTCAATGCCATTTTGCCTTTTATACCAGTCAAATAATGTACGTAGAATGGAAGGCAGGCAGTACTCAGAAAGGGAGCTCATTGAGCTGATGACCTATGGAGGAAAATGCAGGTGATTAGAAGGCTCTGATAGCACCGCCAATTACTGAGAAACTTTTTATTTCACAAGTAACCCCAAGCACTCCTCACTAAAAAACTTTCTTATGTATCACAGGCCTTTCTTTCTTTTTTTTTTTGAGACGGAGTTTCACTTTCATAATTTTATTAGTACATTCCCAAGAGCCTGTCCCTTAATGCTGACAGATGTTCTTCATATAAGAATAATTTTGTGGTTCAAGAAAGTTAATTACTTTGACTACCTTTCATTCTAGAAATCAGATGTTAATTGCATACAGGTTATTCATGGAGCCGCAAAGAAATTACGTTCCCACTTTTATCTACCTAAAGTAGATGAAGGCTTCTTTGGTCCTAAAAATGTTGGTATAAATATATTAATACAATTACATTACTAGTTTAGATGAAATAAATCTACCCCCATCACCAAATAACCTAAGTAATAATAATAATGTATGGTTTTGGACAATAATTATTCATCCATTAAAGTGTGCCCCAAATTAGACTCAAGACACAAATGAGCAGCAATAATTTACTCCATATTACATTAAAGACAAACTTCTCCCCTTTTCTTTAAACAACAAATGTGCCTTTAGTAGAACTGTTATTCTAATTTCCTTATCTGGAAAGAGTCCTGATTTTTTAACTGATTACTATTTAAAAAAAAATCCATATCTCATTGCCATATGCAAAAGTTTCCACAACATGCCTCATAAATTTAAGTATAAAACCTAAAAATATAAAATTTCAAGAAAACATAGGAAAGGACCTTTGTGACTTTGCATTAGGCAAGGATTTCTTAGGTACGACCCCATAACCAAAGTCCATGACGAAATTTGGTATAAACTTATCAACATCAAAAGCTTCTGCTTTTAGAAAAATACAGTTAAGAATGTGATAAGGGACAAGCCACAGAGTGGGCAAAAATATTTGCAAAGCATCTGACTAAGGCCTTGTCTCCAGAATATGTAAAACTACAATGAAATAGGTTTTAACTACTTAACAAACTATATGCAAATTATAACACCCAGAGTTGATAAGCAGTGATAAAGTGGACATGTTCGTATACCGCTGATAGAAAAAAAAAAAACAGGTATAATATCTCTGGAAGATAATTTGGAGATACATATCAAGAACCTAATAAAAGTCATTCTCAAGAAGGCCACTCTTAGAATTTGTCTCAAGTCCATAATTAGAGATAAGCAAGAAGGTGTAGTACAGCATTACTTATTATAGCAAAAGGATAGAAACAACATAAATATCCAGCTACATGTATATGCTTAATAAGATGCTGAATTTGGTGTAGACTAAGAAACCATTAAAATATATTTCTAATATAAACATATTTATGACATGAAAATGTTCATGATACGGCAAGTGAAAAAAATGAAAAATGAAAGAAGAAATATCTGACTGGTGTGAAGACTTTATTTTGCCAGAGTGAAGGAACATAATGCTAAAAATTTATCTTTTCTAGAAAATGGAAAGACTCTGAAGATTTTTGAATAGGGACATAAGCCCATACAAATTGTGTTGGGGGGGTGAAATCCCCCAAACAGTGGGGTGATGTGGAGATGAATTCACACACATCTTGCATTGCATGAGGTGACTGCAGTGATTCCAGGCATTCAGTGATCTCGGCCTGGGCAGCAGAGATGGCAGAAGAAATGGAAATCCTTAGTTAACTCACAATATTTCTGCAGTTAAGCAGGCCAGGCTTCACTTCCTTTTATAAAGCAGGAAATGAGAGTAAAAGGAGTGAAAAAGTGCTTTGTGTCAATAGGATTTTCCACTGTCACCTTTAAAAGAAACTCTGAGATTGAACAAAATATTTATTGCTTTCTTCCTCACATTCTACCTCTTCACAGCCTACTTCATGCTGTCTCCTATAATGATGGTTATATGTACACGTACAAAACTGTACATTATCTTTAGTTATGAGTTAATATAAACTAAAAATAAATAGGCTATTGCATTCAGCCTGCCCTGTAAACCTAGACAGCATCAACTTTTACAACTGAAGAGCATCTACTTATTATCACTAGAGTCTTCCCCTGACTCTATTGATACTCATAGCCAACACATATTTTTTCTGCTGTGATCATGAATGTAAGTAACGGCAGTAACTTTTTGGAAGAAAGCCAATCATGATGTAAGATAGTAATTTACTAATTCTCTCTAAAGTTACCCCAACAGGAGAAAGGATATTTACTTTCCTAAATCACCATCATCTAAAATGTTTTGAATTGAGAAATGAAGGACATTCCTCCCATAGAAGAAAAAGGGATAAGAATTCAGAGTTTCTGTCTATAGGCTATCTTAACTATTACAAAGGTAATGACATTTCAAAGCATTACAATCACATTTCAATAATTTTTAAAATACTTGTGTAAGACTGGAGAATCTAAGCAGACAGGATGACTAAACGTTCATGTGGTATTCTAACTAGTATCTTGAAATAGAAAAAATATATCAGAGAAAAACAAAGGAAACACAAATAAAGAGTTTAGTTAACAATACTGTGCATGGAACTCTGCATCCCTTCCCAGATAGCTTGGCCTACACGTCTCTTCATCTGTATCCTTTGCAATGTCTTTTACAGTAAATCACTAAAAAAACCCAAAACATAAAACAATATACTAACGCTGGTTTCTTAGTTGTGAAAAAAGTTCCATGGCAATGTAAGATGCTAGTAGCAGGGGAAACTGGCAACTGCCTGAATTATCTTTGCAACTTTTCTGCAAATCCAAAACTATTTCAAAATGAAATGTTTATTCAAAAAATACCTGTGTGGGATATTTCCACAAGTTCCAATGTTCACTATAGACCCATAAAAGAGATTGAAACTTATGTTTGACTCCTAAACATCTCTGGGCAATGCACACAATGTTCACCTACTTCACTAATATGGAACCCCCATTCTCCATAGAGAACTTCCATAGTGTTCATCAGACTTCATCTATAATAATTTCTTAAAATATTTTTTTCCTTCCCATTAAAAAGCCACCCTGAATCCATTCTTGGTATTAGATCTATGGGGTATACTTTCCATGGTAAAACACTGAGACCATCTCAGAAGGGATGAAAGGTCAGCATGGGGTGGATATGTGTGTTTTTCCATCTTTCTGTTACTGCCCTTTTGAGCCCAGGCTTTCAGGAAGGAAGGGTGGAATTTGCAAAGACCTGGCCCTCAAAGCTCAGGAAGGGAGGAAGGTCTAGCTGGCTTCTTGGTTACTCAACTCCTTCATTTACGGGAAGCAGAGCCAATGGTAAGATGAATTCTAGCTCTGTGCTGCTGCGAAAAGGGAGCAGGCCCATTTACAAAGATGTTCTTGTTGCATTTAAATGATCATATTCTTCCACCATAGATGAGCTAGGTACTGGGCAGCATGAAGAGATGAAGTGCATGGAATCACAGAACAATTTCACACTGGTGTTTTCTATTTGAGGGGGATAGAGAAGAAAACTAAATGTACTTTGTAAATGTTTTAATGTTTACTTTGGCCGTTTATGTATACATAGGCCAAAAGAGACTATTATGCTGCAGCTCAGACATTGATTTTTCAAAAGCATTTTATTATACTTGTTAAATGCAAAGAATCAAACTTCACACATAAATATTTGAATATTACCCTGTGGAGTCATTCCATATTTTATAGTAATAAGACTGGCTTCTCATAAATGGTACATTTAATGAATGATTTTAAAGTAACTGCATTGATGGTCTAATTTCTCAAACAAATTCAAGTGGTCAAGCAACTTTGGGGGCCAGGATACTTTCTGTGTACTACCATAAAATGCTGATATCTTAATTTCAAATGCTATTTATTTATACTTGATCATATATCATACTATTGCTAGATTATAGTATTTGATGAGTAATGACAAAGATTTAAGAATAGTTTCATAGGAAAACAATATCATAAAAATCTATGCATTAAATGTATTTTTCCTTCAAGTTAGGAAAAGATCATTATTTGATTTTAACATCTTAGTTCATTTCATAGAACACAGTGTTCCACTGGAGAATAATTTAAGCAATGCTGACTAACACTAATGTAAATCCAATGCAAGTTAAATTGTTTTCACTCTTAATTGCTTACATTTTTCATTTATACATTTTAAATAGATTTTCATTGAATGGTAATATTAGAGTCAATGTTGAAACACTAGAATTGCATCTGCTTCCTTTTCTGGAAAATTACTACCATCCAAGGTAGTAAAAAGTGATTTTAGCTCAGCTACAGAGGTATAAATGTATTTTACTATGCGTTTCCTGTTTACAGTTAGTATTTTAACATATTAATAAATAAACACTACATAAGTACACATGTACACAAAAGTATGTAAGACATAACATCTGGAAGTTATTTAGAATAACTGAAGTTATTTAGAATGTTTGGACAAATTATCTGCAATTCGTAGATATGACACTAGTTAAGAATATAAGTCACATTGAATTGTAAATAGCTACAACTTAATGTTCTCAGAAACAACATGTGATGATTGACCCCTCATGTGCCGTGTTTTCAGAGTTTCTCTAGTGCATTGGAAATGATCAAATGGTCTTGGGTTCAAGTTACAGCTCTGTCTCTTATAGCTGTATGAGCTTGGGATGCCACCATTTCTCTGATGCTTTGTGTTCCCAGCTGTAAAATGGGACTAATGGGATTTTATGGGGACAAATGAGATGCCATAAAATGTGGAGCACATAATAAACCTTCCAAAATATGTTTCCTTCTTTCGTTTCCAAATACAGAAATTGGAGCATTAAACACACACACACACACACACACACACACACACACACACACACACACACACACGGTGACTGTGATGAGATCACAGGCTAAGTTAATAACAGAATAAATAACAGAAGTTGCTGTCAGAATTTTATTTACCAGAACTGGAGAAATGTCACTTACTAGTTATATTGCAGAAACCTGAAAGCCCCACTTATTCCGTATCCAAGCACAAACT